ATGTGACTTTAATAGAATCATGAAACCCTGATTCTGTTACGGTCGCATATATCAATAAAGCAAAGCTCCAACACAATTGAGTCAGTGTTGACTCCTGGCGACTGCCTGGACTAGTTCTTGCAGTTTCTCTGGCAAGGTTTTTCAGAAGTGGCTTGCCATTGCTTCCTTCCTAGGGCTAACAGAGAGTGACTGGCCCAAGATCACCCAGCTGGCTAAGGTGGGACTAGAACTCACATGGCGCATGGCTGGCTGGGGAATTCTGGGAGCTGAAGTCCACACATCTTAAAGTTGCCAAGGTTGAGAAGCACTGCTCCAGCATTTTCCCTCCCTCCTCCTCATTCCAAAGACAGATAAGGTAGCGTCACTCTAAGTTTCTTTTTAACACCTCTTTCCTCTCCTGAGTTTAATCCATGCTTTGCCACATTCCTCCTCCAAAGTCATCTCTGTGGTTCTCTACACACACCCACGTTCACTGTCCCTGGGGAGAAGAACAACTTTGAACTTGTTCCTTAGAGAAAGGAAATTTGAAGCTTCTGCCCCGTGGCCAACCAGAGGACAGTTGCCCTTTCCCTATTGCGAATGCCAAGGATAGGGCATCTGTGCTCCCTACCTCAAGAGCAGCATGCAGACGAACCAAGGGGACAGATGCAGCCTACAGACTGTCCACACAATACCTATCAAGGCCAATTTGTCCTTACAGAATGTGCCATAGGTTTGTACTACCTGTTTACTGATCTGACTTAATTCATAGGCTGAGATGAAGAGCCAGTCTGGTGACCACTAGGTCAAGGCACAGGGCTAGAAACCAGGAGACCATGTCTAGTCCCACCTTAGCCAGCTGGGTGACCTTGGGCCAGTCACTCTTTCTCAGCCCTAAGAGGGGGGCAATGGCAACCACTAACAAAAAACCTTGCCAAGAAAACTGCAGGGACTAGTCCGGGCAGTCACCAGGAGCCAACAGGAACTCAAAGGAACAAAAAAATGGGGGGAAAATGATGAGATAAGATCTTCAGTTTGAGGTCAACAGTATCAGTCACAGCATAGCACATTGCAGAATGGTATCATGGAATTGGAAGTGACTAGACAGAGATATGCCAAATGTTTCAACTTCAAAATATTAGGGACAGCTGTTCCAGCCTTACCAAAGTGCTCATATGTGGTTTCAACCCTTCTGGAAGTCTTCTGAAAGTAAAATGGCCCACTTTCCATATGGATTTATTTATTTACAAAATGTATACCCACCCCCATCCAAGATAGTTTACATCTAAAAGAGTTACACATTCTACTGAAATGACAAACAAGCCAAAATCAATTACCAATAAGTTTAAACTCAACATAAACACTGACACATGACCACAAAACCAATGCACTTACATTAAAATGACCAGCAGCCCTGCGAATAGCATTTCCAACCTTAAAGACATGGCAAAAAGGACCATCTAGGCCACCTTTCTGAAAGCGAGCAAGGTGAGGATCATTTACCCTCTGGGGGCCTGTGACCTGTCACCCTCCAAATCTCCTGAGAGGGGGATCCAAAAGATTTCCTCTGCACACAACGGGCAGATTTTGCTAGGAGAAAATGAGCTCAAAACATTTCAAATTACCAGAATGGCTACTATTGCTAAAGTAGATTGGCAAATATGTCTTCCCTATAGTATCAAATTCTTAATATCTGACCAATTTGTGATGACCCAACCATGTTTTCTTCTGGGATATCAGGGGGAGGAAAATATTTTCTCTCTTTAATCTCAGATGGGGAGTACTGGTTTTTTACCTATCAAGAACTACATTTCCACTAGAATAACGATCTGGGTCCACAACATAAACAGCAGGCTGTTCTAAAGCAAACCATCATGTGGGGCCAGAACTACAATTGCACAAGACCCACACTCTTTGTTCCTCTGATACTTTTCTCTCCATGGAGTGCCTCCCCTCACATTGCCAGAAAAGACCAATCACCCTTTCCAGTGTTCTAATATTTTTTTTTAAAATGTATTATTTAAATTTCAAAAAATTACACAGAGCTAATACATTTTAACATGCCCATAAATTTTGATAGAATCTGTTGCTAGGATGCTTATCTCTTGTTAAAAAATTGAAATCCTGCCATTTCTTGTAAAACAGTGATTCACTACTTTGCCTCAGCCTACAATGGATTTTATCAGAGATGTTTTCAAGCAAAACAATAGACCAGGCCTCCTGCCATCTATCCACTGAGTTATTATCCAGTATTTCCATTATTTCATTAGCAGAAACGTAAGTTTTTGACTTTAAGTGTTCTGACCTGGCTGGTTGGAAAAGAGCTTTTCAAATTAGATTTGCAAGCTGGTACACCTGCCCCTGCTTGAAGATTCAAGAAACTAATATTTATGAGGGCTGTCAGATCAAGAAAGCCCACACAGTTAAACTTAATCCCAGATACATTTAGATGGGAAATGCTCATATGCATTCATATTCATCTGAAATTTGCTGACCGGGGCATCAACAGACAACTGAAAATTACTTCCCCCATCTCCAACACTAACCACACTTGAAAGAAACCCTCTATTGGAGCCAACAGTAGCTTTTTCATACCCAGGTAGGAATGTGCGTGAAAATGAATGGCAGTAAGAGGAAAGGTTTGAATGTCAGAGATGTAGTGCTGACTTCACTAGCCGCTGGCAAATGGCCTCATAATGAAGTGTTCCTCAGGCAAAAAAGCTCTGAGGCTCCAGTTTTAGTCTTATCAAATGATGGCACTCACCTTTAAAATACTTAACCGTTTTAACTCTGAGTTCTAAAGTGGCATCTTCATCACATACAAAGATAGTATGGGGATGTTGCTGGAAGGCAGAAACTGTCCACATATGGTTGACCCCTTCTTCAATTGCCTTGTATAAAGCAAAGGCTTTGTGTGCTCCCGTGATCAGAATCATGACCTGGAAGACAAGCATGAATGGACCACAGTCAACCAAGTGCCACTACCTCCTAAAGGAGCACCATCAACTGTGACAGTAGATACTAAGCAGAGATGCTCTGGTGACTAAAACAGATATTCCTAAAATCTTATGAGACGGTCAGAAGTGCCCGGTTTTTTTCTGGGTGCTTCAGAAATTAGATGGGGCAAGGACAACCCTGTATTTAATTACACGTTAAGGCTATGTAATGAATGTGATTCCTCCCCATGTATTTAATATTTTCCCTTGTAGGACATTACAGATTATAGTTAGTCAACTATTGGAGGTGCTCTGCAGGCTGTATGCTATGTAATGGCACCGTCAAAGAGAAGTATGTCTGGTACATAGGAAACATTCCAGCTGAAGGCTGTCTAGTAGCTGTAGGACAATTAAGAGACATCCTGATTACAAATCAGTGGGATGGTATGCAAAGCATCGGAAGATGTTTCCTCGTACTTATGTTTTCTAAGGAATCCTGTGGAATGTGAAATGAAGGATCTTTGTAGAAAAGATATAGGTATATTGACTTGTGCATCATTCTGATGGTTGCATATCTGTGTTTTTAAGAGGCCATCCCCACTTTTGTCAACATTCAAACAAAGGAAGAGGCCGTTACTTTGCAGATGATGACTATGGTGTAAGGGAGAACAGAGAGCGTGGCCATTTTCCCAGAGCCACTGACACGTGTCTCCAGAAATGATTTTCTTTTTCTTTTTTTACAGGAAATTAACTTCTATACAAGAGAAAATATATACTAAAAAGAAAAATACCTCTTCTACTAAAACTTCAAGATGGGGTGGTAATTGTTGATATTGTTATTAATTGCCCTGAATTGTGCATAACCGAATAAAATGGTGGAATACTAAATACCCTACAGCAGTGTTTCTCAACCTTGGCAACTTGAAGACGTGTGGACTTCACTACCAATTCCCTAGCCAGCCATTGAGAAACACTGCCCTACGGTACATAATATAGGGGACCTAGGGTCTGATTCAGTTCAATCAGAATGATAAAACTCCTAGAAGGGCAAGTAAGGTTAATGGAGGCAGAAGTTTTGAAAAAATGAAATGATTCTTGCCCACTGGGAAGCAAAGAAATGGGATTTTAATGTAATAAGTAAGATGGGATAAAATAAGCTCTTTTGGGGGGAACCAGTTGTATTTCACTAATGGACATTTGTAATGCGCTAATTCTAAAGATTCTAAATTCTAAAGATCACACCAGTTTTCAGATATATTTCAGAAAATGCAAGTATAAAGACAAATGTTCTTACTTCCCTGGCATCCATGACTGTCCCCACACCAACCGTTAATGCCATAGTTGGAACCTTAGATAAATCACCATCGAAGTATTTTGCATTTGCCAGAATGGTATCCATGGCTAGTGTTTTCAATCTTGTCCTTGACACCAAACTGGATCCGGGTTCATTGAAAGCTATGTGACCATCTGGGCCAATGCCTTTGAAAGACCACAAAAAACGAAACCAGTGTATGCAGGCACGCTTGACAATTTTCTAAATACTCTGATCAACAACCTCTATGAAAAAGAAAACAGTGATAATACTAGGTATGTATGAACCACCTGCAAAGAGTCCCAAGGTGATGCTTCAGTGCTTGTATTGGTGGCAAAGGCCATAGAGACAGATTGCTCTGCAGAAACCACTGTTAGCAAGTGACGTGACAGATTCCACCTGAACAGGGAAGGAGACGCTGCTTTGTGGTTTTGCCTCAAATGGGGATTCTGTTCAGGTCTTGGTGAAGCCTAGACTACGCTGAAGTTCTGCACAACTCAAGGTCATGGTGAATCACATGCACCCAAGAGGGTTCATATCAAAATACTGTTTATTAACTATTTCGCAGGATTGTGCCATGCTTCAGACTCAGTTCAAAAAAGGTGCTTTGGAACACAAACATAACATCTGTTTCCAACTCTTTAAAGCAGCTATGTCTTTTCCTGCAAAGGGCAACTTCATGACCCCAGGAAAAGACACAGTTGCTGTAAACAGTGGCAGACAGATGCTACATTTGGGCACCCCCACACTCTGAAGCACCACTGGGGATCAAAGATGAAGCACTGCACAGCCCTGCAATTTTAGGTTGCAAGCTGTTCAGCATTTTTCTTCTAGAACAAATAGTTTGAATTACTGTGAGAATAATTTAAAATCAGTAGGGGAAAACAGGCCAGAATACAGGAATATGGGAACTTGGAGCCCTCCAGTGTGACAAATGGACACTTGGATATGTGGATCAGGAATGAACCACAGGTTCCCCAGCTGTGGGTTAGAATGTAGACTGAAAAAGATGAAAATGAACCAAACTTGCTTGCTATTAAGTATTATTTTCTTCCATTAAGGAATGATACTTAAACAACACTTATTACTAATTGGATTACTCACTGGTAGTTTCAGTTTTTGCTGAAGCACACAAAAAAGCTTACCTCCAACGAACAGCTCTATTCCCCCAGCTTCTTCTATCTTCTTTTCAAATGCATCACACTCTGCTTTGAGATCTGGTGCATTCCCATCGAGAATATGAGCATTGCTTGGATCTATATCAATATACTTAAAAAAATTGTTCCACATGTAAGAGTGGTAGCTCTCTGGGTGATTCCTTGGAAGCCCTGGAACCAAAGAACAGCTGTTTAATTAGTGGACCTCAAAGAAAAGTTAAATGTATATGGAATGTGCTGAAGCATGCAGCTCTACCCAATGTCGCATAACACCGTTAGCAAATCTGAGCCTGTGCCACAAATGCAAAAGTTTTTAAAAACTTACCTACGTATTCATCCATATTGAATGTCTTCACATATTTAAAAGAGAGATCTCCTCTTTTGTGATAGTCTATCAGTTTCTGGTAGCATCCCAAAGGTGTGCTTCCTGCATCAAGCAATTGGTTTCATTATCCCATGTACTAAGAAAAATTCCTTGTACTGGAATTGCAAAAGGTGAGATGATCACAAGTCCAGTTATAACTATATTGATCATGCCCTGGGAAAACTCTAGACAAAAAGATTCTCTTCCACCAATCCCTTAAGGAATAAGTGATGTTCTAATTCTCTTGTCTTCTCATGATTACTCATGCCTTGGTCACCCTGCATATTGATTACTGCAATGTGGTCTACATGGAGCTGCCCTTGAAGACTACTCAGAAGCTATAGCTGATCCAGAATGCAGCAGAGCAAGCAGTTATGAATGCACCTGAGTACACCTATGTAATGCCTCTACTATACAAACTCCACTGGTTACCAATTCCTAATGCAATTCAGGATGCTGGTTATCGCCTACGAAACCCTTTATGGCATAGGTCCTGCCCATGTGAGTGACTGTCTCTCTACCATTATTTCTGCCCACCCCATAACACCCATTAGGGTGGGGATGGTTCATGTTTCATCTATTAAGCAATGTCATCTGATCCAGGAAGTACATCATCTCTGTCACTGCACCTGCCCTCTGGAGTAACATCTCCTAGAGATTCAAACTGCCTGGACCCTGCAAACCTTTAAGCAATCTTTGAAAACTCATTTTTTCTCCAAGCTCTGGGATGAGTTCACCTGGAATGTATTGTTTGTTTAGGTGATGGTGTATGTCTGTTCCCCCTATTATATTTATTCTCTGCCCCTCCCAGAGTCATTATGAGTTGGGCAGGCTTAAAAATGTAAATTATAAAGAAATAAACTTTCACAAATATCTGATTTTATTCTGAATAGTACATAAGTTGCTGTGACACTCTTTTTATGCAATGTAAAGACTGAAAGCTTTGAGGCCAAATCATTTCCTCCAGTGATTAAAACAATAAGGGAGAGTAAAGAGCTCCAACAGGATCTTGCCATATGGAAGAACAGGCTACAAAATGGCAAATGTCAACATGCAAATGTACAGGGAAGATGAAATGTATGTTTATTGATGTTCTAAGTAGCCTCTTGGGTTGTACCTTTAAGTACAACTTGATCTGCAATAGCCAGCCCAAAACCCATTCATGAAATAGAGGTCAAGGAGCTTTTTGAAGACCTACAACACCTGGTTGAAAAATTGCTATTGTGGCAATTGAGATCATTCTTCTATCCTGCAAAAGTTTGCCATCATGCAGAAGTTCCGGAGACAGAGTCGTTGGAGTAAATTGGGAAATGGATGTAAAAAAGGTTCAATCAAGCAGAAGGTAAACTACTGCCTTCTCAGAGTATATGACAAATCTCACAAACCTGCATGAAGTTACGATATGAGGAACAGGCTATCAACAAGTAAGAATAGTCCCTATGCAGCTATAGTTGGGAGCAGAGCAGCACTGGCCAGTGACTTCAAGTGAACATCCAGATAAAGGGTTAATTGTCATGATGGCTGTAGGCTACCTTTTTTAATCACAAAAAGCATCTCTCTGAGTGCCAGTACCCAAGGGGAAAAAAGCAAGAGAAGGCTGTTGTACACCTACCCAGCTTATACATTTTGCAGATATCTGCCTTGTTAGGGTGGAGAAGATGAAACTGAGGTATATAAACATGTTCTTCAGATTTAGCGTTTTCTGTAATGATTTTAGGTTCATCTCTTATGTTTCCTTAGTGCCCACTACAGCTTTCCCTCCTACCATTCCCCCACCCTTAGCACAATCCTGTCTCATCACAAGTTAGCTGATTCATGAGGATCCATATGTACAGAAGTTTTCTGTGTACTTGCGCTAACCTAAAGGAAGGGAATCCTTCCTTAGACCAGATTTGTGCATTGCTATCACTCGTTTCCTATACTGAGGTGTCTGTACCGCCACATGTATAGATTTTTTTTTCTTTTCTCCCTCTTCTGACAGTTTAGGTGGACATATCTTATTTGGAAGTTAGTCAAACTAAAAGTCATGGAACTTGGTTCCAAGTAAACTAATTGGGCTCTTGTGGACATATGTTTCTTCAGAGCGTAACCATATTTCCTATCAAAGTAGGCAGTTTGCAATTCACCAGGATTCCTTCAACCTAAGGGCCCTCCAGGTATGTGAATTATGAGTCTGAGAATTCTCAGCACGCACCTTGGGAATGCTCAATATGAGGGCTGAGGGTATTCACCACTGTGTGTACAGAGTTTTTTTTCCCCCCTCCAACAAAGATGTGTTTGGAATCCTGGAGGAGAAAGGGTTGTGGTAGTAGCAGGGAGAGCAGAAAAAAAACATAATATGGCCTTTTGGTATTCTTCTCGCTTCCACCTTCAAACTAATGAGGAAGTTGGGGATATGAGTCAGCACATTCAGAGAACTGAAAGCAGGCTAAGATAGAGAAGGAGATATGGATAAAACAAAGTTAAAACTCTAGAAATTGATTAATTGCTCCCTTTATTTCCTAACCCTACTCTAGCTTTTGCTCAAGGCAGAAAAGCCTCAAATGAGTGAAATCTAGCCACTCTACTGGAACACTAAACCATTCACTCCTTATCTTCCAAAAGCAAAAATGTAGGAGAGAGAGAGAAGAAAATTAATTACCTGTTGGCAGGCCAAGAGTGAAATACCGGCTTTCGTTAGGCTTAAACTGGATGATGCGGTTACAGATATACTTTGCAGCCCATTCGCTTGCCAAATCATAATTGTCTAGGATTACGAGCCTCATCCTTTTGAGAAACAGCTCCCCCAAAGTAAAACACAGTTGAAGCTGCGGAAGAACCCAGGTAGATGGTTATTCAAACAAGCATATTTTATCACGGGCAATGCAGAGTGCGACCTTCTCAGCAAAACAAAATCTCCAGTCCTTGAGTGTGGCTGTACTTGACAATTCCAGAAAATTATTTTGGGTGTGTGTGCAGTGGAAACGCTAGATTTGGGGGTTCCTGGTGGTCCTTCTATACACTGGCAGCACCTTCTGAATAGCTTGATAGTTGAAAGACCATACAGATCTGTCCTGTGCTTAGACAAGATTATAGCCATAGTGCAGTATTTCCCCAATATGATACCCTCAAAATGTAATGGACCAGCTTCCAAAATGTGCAGCCAGTACAGGATTTGGGAACTGGTGAAGTCCATTATATCAGAAAACTGCCCAGTTGAGGAAGACCAGGAATTCCCTCCCCCTTTAGTTAACTAAATATTTGAATGTTAATTTTTTTCTAGAACAAAATAGAAGCTGCATATGGGTGGGGTGTGAATTCCCTTCCTGTTTTTAAAGTTCAGCAATACGTAGCATCTTTAAAACGCTGCAGTTTCTGTAACAAAATAGAAACATAGCAGAAAGGATATTGCATTTAAACTAGGTCTTTTCTTTTTTAAAAAAAATTCTTGGATGGCAAACTATTCCTGTCAAAATTACAACACCCACTGCAGGAAGAGATAATTGAAAAGTGGTACCTATGGAATCATAGCAATAGAAATCTTTATCTGTTCTGACTGTAATCAGGGCAGTCAACTCGGTTAGAATCCACGGAGAAGAAAATCAGTCTGCGGAACCCGGTATTTTTTCTCCTGTCGGGATTCTAAGTTCACGCTTTAAAAATGCCAAATAAATTTGGCGACATCATGGATTCGGGTAATGAAAATAGGCAAGCGAGACTGCCAGCAGCACAGTCTCGAGGCACACCTAATGCGCTTTATTTCAATGCGTGGTTCCGTGGCTCATCTCTCCCCAGACTTTCTAGATAGTTCTTCCAAGCGAGCCCACCCCGCATATCAGCACATGTCCATCAGTGCCCCCTCTCAGGCCGGTTATGATCTGAACGGCAGACCCTCTGGTTTTCTGCTGGCATCCGTTGCCAAGTAAAATAAAGGCCAAACGTTGCAGGAGGGCTGGATTTCCCCAGCATCCCAGGGCCTCGCCCGAAGGGCTTCTGGCCGCAACAGGGAAACCACGAACTCGCTGAGCACCGCGGATTCCAACCCATCCATCCATCCACCCGCCCATCGATTCCTGTTTCTGCCTCCCAGTGCGCCTGGCGCGGCCCTGGGGATCATGGGAGTTGTAGTGCTACACCTCAGGCAGCTCCCAATTGCAGGCAGCTGCGGCAGGAGGCTGAAGCCCGGGCCGGGCGCCGCGCCCCGTCAGGAGAGGAAGGCGGCCCTGCGCAGGGGGGCGCCCCGCGGCGGCTTCCGAGCTTCCCCGCCCG